TCAAAACCCAATCACCGCGACAACACCTTTCCTCCGACACACCCAGCCACTCAGCTCCTTCGCCTCCCGTCGAGCTGCCCTCCCCAATCAGACTCAATAAATGTCACACTACATTCCCCTATCCACACTTTTTTCCCCCAGTAGTTTCATCGTTTTACGTTTGAAAGGATGGCTAAGCGTGTCGAATTCTTTCTGGTTTCTTTGACGCCCAGCAGCAAGAAGGAAAGGCAGAAAATCTGCGTTCTACAATCTATTATATTTCCTATCTATTTGATCAACGCAGCCAACAAGGCTTCATAATCTCATCACATTTCCAGTCCTCTAGTCATTTTACAAGTTAAGCTCCTCTTCCCGTGCTCATTTAACACATTTAAAGCTGAGAAGGTTTGAAGAACTAAAACCTTTTTCATGCGAGCATCTGTAAGTGTGCAAGGTCATGGTCAGCTTTACAAACAGCAGGAGGCATGTAATACGATTACAGTAAGCTGTAAATTATTTTAGGACATGGCTGCTGATGCCTTATATCAGTCTTACTGTCACTGGTTACATTGAGAAAACCTCTCGCTACACCTACTTTAACCCTTCTAAGACATTTGCATTCTCATGATAACGAAAAAGTCATTCCTACGCATTGCTCCAAATTAGCTATTTGATGTGATATTTGCTGCATTATCTGGATTAGTGGAATCCAAAATATGCCATGCATTCAAAATCAGATTTTTTTCCAACATGACAGAGTAATTAATTCTACATGAGCACTGCATATTGAAATAAAAATAAAACAATAAGAAGGACATAAAACTGTTTAGTAGAACAATTAAACAGTTGATGGAAGTGACGAAGAGGCTCGTATTATGACTTAGGAAAATGTTCTCTATCTTAGCGCATTCTGCACTGGACCCTAAACCCATCACAGAAAAAAACAAATTTCTGCATCACTGGCTTTCTAAACTAACAAGACAACAAGAGCTGGCAGAAATTGCATCACTATTTCCAGGCTTGCAGTTAAAAAAAAAAAAATCTGTTAATTGACACATGCCTGTGCTTCAAAATGTTAGGAAAAGTCTCCTAACAATGTAACTGCACAGAGTCCTGCTGCATGAGACAGCTTTGTCTGGATGATGTTACACAACATAACCATTGATTTCACTTTTTATGAACAATTCACAAACCTTTTTGATGACTCTGGAAGTGAGCACTGTTACCGTCGGCTGCTTTGGGTGCCAAAAAGCAGGGAAAACTGCCCAGAAGAAACAAATACACACATGAAGCTTACAGTATACAAGGACCGCTTGAAAACCTTAAGATTTCATAAATGACATTGATAAATATCTTTATCAATGTCATCAAGACATTGATAAATATACTTTTGTTACCTATTGGAATGTAGAAAAAGATCATTTTGAATTATAGCATTACATTAAGTACAATTTGAACAACCTAAATGCAAGTAAGGACTTAATTAAAGAGGATTTTATGAAAACTGACTTCAGCTTTACATCATGTTATAATTTAATCCTCTCATAAAAACATATCTGGAGTGTTGCCTTGATTGTTTCACACATTTGATGAATCATTGAATCTGCTGCGTCATACAAACTGCTTCTCAGTCCAGCGCTCCTAAAAATGATTGTAAACAGCATAATGAGAAGCACTGTTGTGATGACATGCTGAAGGCAGAGTGTCAAAAAACGTAGGAGCTTCTTAAAGAGACAGATGCCCAATTTCAAGGCGACAAATTACAAAGTCAAGTTTCTTTTAAGTTTTATGTTTGATATATTCAGCATTTTAATAAAAACTGAACATAGTTACTTGATTGCACTACAAAATGGCACTATATGCCTGGAAAATCAACATAAACGAAAATAAGTTTGTATTTTTGAGATGACTCGGCTCAATATCCTGCAGGTAAGATAATCATTGCTAACAATATTCAACATAACCTCACTGAACTTCACAGAAATGTAAAATATTTTACTCTGATAACTTAGCTGGTGTTCCTCTGCTGCACCATCTTTCTGACCTGTCAATATCCTCCACTGACAGCTCTGAGCACAACAGCTGTCAGCAATGTCAGCTCAATGGCATGAGTCATAAGAATACGGCAAAGAAAGAAACTGAAACTTTTTACTGTTTCCTTTCTTGTTTTTCAGATAGATAAAGTAAATACTGAAATTAATCCTTTTTTTCCCAACATAATGGAGTGAAGCCTTGCTGGCTGATTCTAACACCTAATTACTTAATTTTGTTGTAAATTTAATGCAGAATTATATATTTTCAATCTATTATGTATACTTATTTTTCCTGAAAACATACTATTACCTATTTGCTACATTTTTGCCAAGCTTATTAGAGGCATAAATATTTTTTTTTCTTACTTGATTTCAGGACCTTCTAGCAGTATTTTATAAAGTTTTAAAGAGACCTTTTGCAGATAAAGCAGTAGAGAAACTAAAGGTTATGTGTGAATTTGGACTGTGATCCCCTCTGCTATTACCATGTAGAGTAAAATGTCTGCCTTTAGAAACCAGGCTTCACTTTCTATTTCTCCACCGCTGAGTTTCACTGTTGGATTTTTAATGCTTGGCAGGAAGTAACAGCATCAGAGCTTCTTTTGTGAATCGTGCTGCCTTATGAGCCTCAAAACCCCTCTGCTGAGAGCAAATGGAATCAAAAAAGTTTAACTGGATCCATCTGCTAAAACATAAAATAAATACACTTGTCGGACTTCATACAGCTGAGAGCTTTACAATTTGATTAATTATTTTATCTACTGCTAAATCTGAAAATAGCGACTGAATCTAATCTGTTGTCTCTATTATCAAATCTGAAAATAAAGAATCATTCATGCAGGGGTCATGATCATAAAATTATCTTTAAATTTGAACTAACGGGTGCTTGCTATGCATGAAGCTCACACTCATGCAGATTTTATAGCCATAAAAGAATACTTTACACATGCTTCTTGTGTAAAGTAGCATGACCCGTAGTCGCTGTAAAAGAGATTAGTTTTACATTCAATAACAGAACACAAGCTACAGCCGATAAATGTGAAGTTAATTGTTCAGTTAATTGCATATTATGTCACATTTGGAGGCAGCGTAATACAACAGCTGATTACATTTTATAGCAGGTAACCAGACGCACTTGCTTTTAATGCTTGGATAATCTTTTTTTCATTTGTCTTGGGAGTGCTGACTGAGCACGTGAGCTTGTCTTTGGCATTTGTATTCCTATAGGAAATGCAAAACCAACAAAGCAATGCCAAGTGTCAGGGGACTCGGCTGTTTGTTCTATGCTAGCTCTATGCAAGTTTTAGAAAGAGAGAGAGAGTTTTTAGCTCAAGTTATTCTGTCTTTTTATATATATTTGGTGTAAACAGACAAATTATAAGAAAAGGGGACAAATGTTCACTTCACTAGCGCTTTAAATCTGCAGACTGCACCTTTATGTGCACATTTCAGAGAGCAACTAATCAGTCCAAGACATCCAGATCCGTCCCTGATTCAGACTTGCCGTCATTGTAATTACTGTACAGCGCTTAAGGACTTTGCTATTTGCATAATTGATTCTTTTATCAAGGCACGTCTCACTATCTCTCTCATATACAATCTGTTACGCCAAATGGATTTTTCTAACAAGGGCAGATCTGAAGCTCTGATTCTGTTGTCTCTTTCTCACTGCATTTCGTTTCATCTCCTTTTGGAGCAAACACCTCCGTCTTTTCGATCATCACTCTCGCATTTTCTTCAAAAACTTTTTTTCTTTCTTCAATGCCTTCAAAAAAAGTGACCATGCCTCCTACATTTTTTCACATTTCATTAGGAAACACTTCAGAAATATTACAAGTCGATATTTTTGGTATCACAATAAAAATTGTGATATGTGCTTATTTTGTTATCAGCACTTTTATCACCCTGTATGACCTTTAGCATTTTGGAGAATGCCATTTGTGTCCGGTGTGAACTTCTGCAGCTGTAAAGCTCAGTCCAACAGGCTAAAGATCACATTAACGTGCAAAATAAGAGTTCAGGACACTTTGGATATGTTAGCCAACAATTACTGAACTCCAACACAGTCCTTTGTGATGGGAATACAGCAGACACAAATGTTGTCATGACATAATTGCAATAGATTGTGTAGCCCTATACAAACATCAATGTTTTATTATGAGATTTTATGTGATAGAAACACAACACAGTGGGTTTTCAGTTTTAAACAGCAGGTTAAAATCAATCAGACTGCATAGGAGTCTAAACTCTGAGGTGGATTTAGAAATTTGTCTGGATCATTTATATATTTTCCTCTATACTACTCTATTGTAGCTGTGTTTAGTTATCCTGTTGGAAGGTGAGTCTAATTCCCCATCTAAAGTGTTTAAAAGTTTCTGGCAGGGTTTTTTCCAGTATTGTCCTGTATTCCTCCTCAAATACCTCCATATTGGTAGGATATTTCCTGTCGTTACTGAAAAAGAGAATCTCCAGAGCAGGAGATCTCCACTGTCTCTTTTTTACTGTCTGTGGTGTGTTCAGGGTCATGTTGGCTAAAGCACTTATATTTTTGTCTCATTTAGGTTAGATCACTTTCTTTCACACCTTTCACTAGTAAGTCAGCTTTTGTTCTATTTACACCACTAACATGTATAAATAGAACAAAACAGCCCAAAAAATTCACTTTATTTACAAATTATGTAGCTTCTGAAGGCAATTTTCTTCCTGTGGATGCTGTTTAGGGGAATCAAAGTAAAAAAAAAGAGCTACTTTGTCATTTTTATGACATAGAATCTTAGTGAAAACAAGAACTAGTGATTGCAACATGATAATCAGAAGATTTCCCTTTGTTTCATCTATTGCTGTTATCTTTTTTCTGCTCTTCTTTCTTCTTCTTGAATCTTTTTCTCTTTTTCCACCTTTCTCCATCCTTTCACTCCACTGCTTCCCTACTTTATTTGCAAAGTGTGCACATCAAGCAGCTCAGGTTTCTCGTTTCATCTGTCTCAGGCCCACCATCTATTCCTGGGAGAAGGCGGAGGGAGAGCTCCCCCCACTGGCCAAAGCCGATGGTGCTTTCTTGTCCTTTTCAGTGCTCAACAAATCAGATAACGGCATGTACATCTGCCAAGCTGGCAACAGAATTGGGAAGGGCAGAGGGAGCTACACACTTCAGGTGCAAGGTAAGGGGAGAAACCCTGAGGAGAAGAGGGATTTATAGAGAGACAGGAATCTTTTACGTTTCTTCATTGTTTTTTTATTTTTATTTCTTCTGTTGTGGCTTTGCTTGTACGTCCATCTTTTTTATCTTCTGATTTCTTTTTTTTGTTTTTTTTTGTTGTTGTTTTTTCTCATCCAACCGTGCAACCATAACCACCAAACCGCTTTCGCACATTGTTGCGCCTCTTTCCCTTGGCTGTTGGTGTGCTGTGTTTGTTCAATGCGTTGGTCTGTTTGTGTTTTTTTTTTAATTGTTATTATTCTTGCGCTTTGCTTGCCTATTTCTCTTCGCCTTGCAACACATATTCCTCCACCTGACCCACAAAGACGACCCCGACTCCTCAAACGCAATTACCCCCACGTTTCTCCCCACTTCCATCTTTCCCTCCTCCTTACCTGACGTCTTCCAAGGCTCAGGGTCAGACTTCAGTGACTTCATCACCTTTTCCCCTGACTCCTCCTCTTTGACGGCTGTGATCTCTACCACCAACCCGCCATCTTCCACCACCACCCTCTCCAACGCCCTTTTCCCTGACCTGCTCTTTTCCCCTGTTTCCACCCCTCTCATCCCTCCATCCCCTGCGACTCCCACCCTCTCATCCCCCACCACCTCAGTTTCCATCCAGACGAACGGAGTTTACACTTTCACAGGTAAAACCAGTTCCACACTTGCACTCACACAAGACGTTTAGTAATGGAGTGGAAAGAGGGGGGAGGCATTAAAGTCACTGCTTTGTTATTTTCTCCTTCAATACACAGACTGAATAGCTGTCAGAAATACTTGTTTTATATGCACACCCATGCAAACACTCCTAGAAAACACTCAGTGATGGACAAAAATTGGATTTTTGTGGCTGTTTGCAGCTATTTCATGCTTTTGTTTTTCTTGTTGTCCTCTTTCCTCTTATTGATATTCCCTAATCCTTAACCCCGGTATCCTCAACATGCACACCTCGTCTTTGTCCATGCATCCGCTCCTCCATCCATCCATCCATCCCTTCATTCATCCATCATTCATCTAAATATTCAACTGTCCATCTACTCATCTTCAGAAGATGATGCACGCAACTCGACAGGTATAACTTTTTCCAGCAGTCTCATGTTTGTGTGGGTGTCTGTAGTTTTCAACCACCTGTCTGTGCATCTATGTCTGTGATGCTGTCTTGTGTTTGTATGTCTAATGTACTAAAAACTTAAGCAGAAATATTAATTAAATATTTTTAATAAGTCCATACATTTTCCTGTTCTGGAAAATTCACATTTTGCACTCTTCTACACTTCCAAGTGCTGAAACAAAAACCTGCAGCTTTTGAAAATAAGTTAATATTTTTTGGTCTCTCAAAAATGAGTTGTTTCAAAAACCTCCCTTTTGTTGTGTCACAATCGAAGGGCACTGCACCATTACCTAGCGACCCAAGCGGAGCTCCAGCACGTTTGGTCAGCTGGTCTTACCGCTGCATTCACTGTACAATGGCTGCTGGAAAAAGCAAGAGTTTTGTTGTTGACTAACCATCCAGAAACCACTTGCCACATTCTTGCTGGTTGTGCAGTAGGCTCCATTTCTGCTGTTCAAAGATGTACTGTTGTATAATTGCACATTTGTTTGCAGCCATTGTCATGTTTGAGTGTAAACATTAAGTTGGGGTGTGGCAGCTGCAGCTTATTTGGATTTCAAGTAACAAGTCGTCCAATGCAGTTCATTCTGTAAGGAACTCAAAATAGCCAGAACTGAGCAGAGATTATCTAAAAATTATTTTGTGCTAAAAATGTAATATTTTCTGTAGCCCATAGACCAATCATAACCTCTTCAAGGATGTGCAATTGGTCACCCATAACCTTTTATTTTTGTTAACTTTAAAGAATATATGTTGCAGTTATTGGAAGCCCCACATTTAGCTTTTAAGAAAATGAGAATATTACCTAAGACCAACAAAAAAAAGCATGTTATGGCCTACACAATCATGGAATGGACTGCTGCCTTGACTGTTGATGTCTGGCTGCATGACAGCAGTCCAGCACACACACATAAACATCCTCCACAGTGAGGATAAGCCACAAAATGTCCTTGCTAAAAACGCAGGCTGATCACAGAATGCTGCATAGTAAAGGACAGAAAAACCTGGTGAGGATTCTGCTGGAGTGGACTGTTGCTGGTTACAAAACAGAATGAAATGGGAATAATCTTACCAAAGATAAAAAAACAAATAAAACCAGAATTTAATGAGAAGATGAGAAATGCCACCGTCAACAACTCAGGAGAGCTGAAGGCTGATCACTAAGTGAACATACTGTACAGCGCATGGACATGATTTTCATGAGGCCAACAACTCCTGTTTATTGGTCTGTTAAAACACTGCATTATTGTAACATTAACATTTTCTGATTAACTCAATTTTGGAGTTTCATTAGCTACAACCCATAAACGTCAAAAATGATAAAAATAAATAAAGAAATAATATACACACTTGAAATATGTCAGTCTATGTGTAATCAATCTGTGTAATATACGAGTTTCACTTTTTGAACTGCATTGCAAACTTTCGACGATATTCCAGTTTATTGAGATGCATCGGTGCCTTCCTGTGGTCCTTGTGTTTTTGTCTGTCTGGTGTTCTGGGGAGAAAACAAATACCGAACTCTAGAGCAGGACAATGAATTTTTTAAAGCAGCACACACACAACGAACATGGACAAATCGCCTCTGAGCACAAGACGTCATACACTTGCGTTTCTCTAAGACATGCCAGCCAGCATGACCTCTTAAATGGTACAAGACATTTACACATTGTTGTGCTTTGCGTGTGTGTGTCAGTGTGGTGTAGGTTGTGGCGGTGCGGTTGCTGGCTTTGAGTTGTTCTTGGGTCTTGTCTGCCTTCCTTTGATGCTGACAGCAGGATTTATTGGCTCATTCCCATTCTCGCCTCGTCAGCATGCCCCTCTCACCTCCACGCCGGCCATTCAGAGTGTGTGTTCCACTTTAAGTGTGCTTTGTCTTTTCCTTCCACTTCTCCCTCACTCATCAAGGTTTTCCACTGCTCTGCTCTCTGTCGGTTAGCTCTTGTCAGGTCCTATACTTCTCTGAGAAATAGAAGTGCTACTCCTCCTTGCAAAGTTGGATGCTCACCACATCAATTGGCTGTGATCTTGCTCTTCCCCCCCCCCCCATCTCTGCATTTGTCATTTAATCCTGTTACTGTAATCACACAGAGTCTCCAAATAACCTTTGTCTTTTTTTCATTTTTTATCTTTTGTTTGGTCCTTCAAACAGTCGCCTAATGGAAACCAGACTCTCCCCCTTGATTTCACAAAGTGTTTTATGCTTTTTATGTCCCACACGTTGGGGAAGTGCCACTTCAGGGTTGATTTTATCTGAGCGACTTTCTTACAAACACCCAGGGATTTTATACAGCCTAAAGAAACAGGCGAAATAAATGCTGTGTCAAATTGTTTTGGCTGCACACTGATACCTTCTCTAAACACTAAGAGCTCAAAATGGCTGATGCAAACAAAAATGGTGGGAATGAAACTTTAAATCTTTTGTGAATGGCATGAATCTGTGAGTAGTTCTACTTCATCACAAATTAAGGAGGAAAACTGTTTTGTTTTGTTTTTTCCAGAAACACACAAGCAACTAGTGACTATTCATTCACAAGACTCACAAATAAAAATAATTTTTTCATGATAATATTAACACATAATAAAATACATAGATAGTATTTACTAATAGGTGGTCATATTATATTATATTGTCATTATTCCTACGTTTTTCATTTTCTCGTGGATAATTGCTTTATGGCTGAATGTTTTTGTTATGTTTGATAAATATATTAAACAATAATACAAGTCATAATTACCATAATGACCCATAATGCACCTTCATTCATAAGGACACACTTTTAAGTGCTTTGCAGTTAAAGCAAATTGCTGATTAGCAACAGAGTTAGGAATAAAAATTAAGGGTAAAAAAAAATTTTTACTCCCCAGAAACTCTTTTTCTGATATATATTTACATTTAAAGCATCTTCATTAAGAGCAAAGTGGAACCCAAGTCAAATTTATTGTCCGTTTGCATAAACCTGGCGAACAAAGCTGATCATGTTAACTTATGCATTAACTTTCCAGAGATTAAGATATTACTTGGTATGCTTTAAATAAAAAGTAGAATTTATGATGAATCAAATCAAGTTTGATCAACATATTGTATCAATTTTGAAAGTGCAACTTTAAAAACCTTGAGAATAATTTGATACCAGAAACAGTCCAATGACTGCTGCACCCTCAGGTCATCCTGGTCATTTTAAACCCCCAACAAGTTTCTCTCTTTCTAAAACTTGCATAGAGCTAGCATAACAACAAAACAGACAGCTGTGGAGATTTCCCCCAACATCTTGAATTGTTCCCGTTCTCTGAAGGAAGCTGTAAGCTGCACATTTCTGTGTAAGTTAGGCACAAACAATTTTTAATGGCAGATGATGAAATTGCGACTCTCTTTCTCCTGGCTTTGTTTTTGCTTCTCTGTTTTTGTCTTGTGAAGGTTTGCCACAGTGGGTATTATATTCTGACATGTTTCTTTGCTCCCCAGTTCTTATCCTTCTTTTTGCTTTCCCTCCGTCACTCTCCCCATTATTTTCTCTCGCTCTATTTCTGCTGCCTTTCATCATCCGTCTTCCATTTCCACCAATATTCATCCACCAACCCCAATGTTTCTTTTCCTCTCTCCCATTATGATTTCTCTGCTTCTTATACATTTAGAAATGCTCTGTGTCTTGTCTCTTCTCTGTTTTCTTCTCATCTCCTCCAGTTGTACGATGACTACTCTTATAATTCCCTTCTTTCGGGTCCTAACTTCTTCTCTTCTTGTCATCCCGCCCCGCCTGACCTCCTCTGAAGACACGACAGCCATGTCGGCACCTTTGGGCGTGGACCACGCTGTGATCGGAGGGGTGGTGGCTGTTATCGTCTTCATCCTGCTTTGCCTCCTCATCGTCCTCGGCAGATACCTCATCAGACACAAAGGTCAGCAGCTCTGCACAAACAAGTCCGCAGACGCACTCATACGTCTGAACACACAGGGAGACAAGCTGGCATACATATGGATGCATGCAAAAATATGGCAACATATCATCCATCCATGAACATAGAGATACTTTGTATGCAGGGACATGCAAATGACTGAGTGAATTTGAAATGTAAACGATAGATGATGTAACTTTCTGAAATTCTTAAAGTTTATCACATGGTATTACTTTGTATTTTAGGTTTTTATGTGACATTAACATTAAATAGTGTTGTGTAAGGAAGTCTTTATTTTTGTTGCAAATACAAACCTGACAATCTTTTGAATGCAGGCCTTTCCACTCTGATACCCCTAAATAAAACCATCCACAAAGAACTACCTTCAGAAGTCACTTTCACTAGGGATCACACTAGTATCAATCCAGTTCTCATACCTACTTAGTCCCAATATTGTCAATATTTCAGATCGATTTGCCTTATTCTAATAGGAAGTCCTGTCTGCAGGTTTCCAGAGGCCATACTGGCAAAAAGATCAGACAAAAATTGAAACTGTTTGGTTTGCAGTTGGCCCTGAAACAGGCTCCTCATCATGACACATGGTGGAGACATTATGCTATTCCTCATCAGGGACTTTGAAGCTGTTAATGTAGGACGGAGCTAAACGTAAGGCTCTTGCCTTACAGAGGCTACAAAAGTTCCCAAAATGGAGGTGGAGGGTCAGCTTCCAGCAGACATAAAATCAGACAACCACAGCTGGTTTCCTGAGCTGCGCCTGTCTAATACATCATTTTCTTTCACCTTTATGATTATGAAGCATTTTGTGTTGGTCTGTTACATTAAATCCCAGTGAAGGTCATTGAAAAGTGTGGATGTTACATTACAAGGCAGTGTAATAGGACATGGTAGGTACTGGGCACTGTTTTAAAATCCATTATGGTGGATGTGTTGCTTAAACTGGGTTGTGAGGCAACATGTCATCCCCACATGCATGAACATAGAGAGACTCTGTACGCTGAGCCGACTGACGTGCAGAACCCAGATGGCTGCTTTGTGGTGTCATCAGGGCTCTTTAAATCAGAGGAAGCCTGCTAAATGAAATGTAAATGTATCTGGAGCTTTTGTCACTAGACATATGGTGACCTACATAAAAAAAATACAGCAATGTGAAGAACAAATCTGACTGGAGAAAATAGTGAGTGATAGAAATCTTACATGAGTTTTTATGACTAAAACTTTTACTCTGGTATTAGTGGGCGAAATGTCTTTACATCTGATGACCTCATTGACAGATCTGTGCAGTTTGTGCATCCCGTTCAGACCTCCTGTTTCCTACATGTTGAATCCTGTAAAAGAAGCCCCAGTGATGCAGGCTGATGACAACTCATTACTGTTCATTACATGTTTTGTTTACTCAGCTTTTTTTCGCTTCAGATTTCCTCTGACTGGTAATTAATTAAGTCACAGTTATTTGGGCAAATGAATAAATCATATTGTTGTGATGGTAAAATTAATTACTCCCATCCCGGGGTGAGTTATTAACTCAGTGGTTAAAGTTTTGTGAGAACAGTAAAGTGTATTTAATTTCTTTCTGTCACATGTTTACCTTTTGTCCCTAAAACAAATGACTTTTGTGCTTCTAATGGAAATCTTAGAACAATTAATTGCCGCTAACTGAAGATTACAAGACTATGATGTAAGAGCTTGAAGATTCTCCAGAATATTGTGTGATTATAACCTGCTAGTCCTACTTGTGCTCACGTCCGTTTTATCTCCCAGGTCACTCTGTCTGGCTCAGTTTAAGTTCCTGTTGCTGCAGCTCCATTATTCACAAAAAACAACCCAGAGTCTGGACTGATTATATTTGCCTCCTTGAGCAAAAGTCAAATCAATGTATCCCAATTAAACAGTTCAGTATTCACATATATTCCTGTACTGAATGTTTGTGTCTAAATATGCAGATTTATTTTTGCTTAAATAATTGTAAATGCCTGCATTGTTATGTTTAAGTCAAATACACTGAAATTATTAACTTATTGCATATGCTGTAAAAGTGTGTTTCCCTAAGAAAACCTTTACAAATATATGTGAATACAGTTTATGTTGCTGTATTAAATAGTATACCTTATATATACAGTATATTTGTCCAACTCTGGCTTTAACATTAAGATAATATGCACTACTGTTAGAAATTAGCTGTAATGCCTGCACAGCTGTTGGCAATCAAAACCAAAGTTTAGTCACTATTGCATTGTGTCGCACTAAAATTATTGCATTGTGTCGCACTAAAACACAAAATTCAACCTTTAATTTTAGTATGTTTAGTTAGGGGTGTAAAGAAAATCCTAGAATGAAGATATCGGTTGTTGTTTTGTCTTTGTTTGGTCTTTTAACAGCATAACGATCCCAAATAAATCACCCGATGGTTGACTGTGGCTAATGACCGTAAGCTGCGAACTTTGGATTTAGAAGAGCAAATTTAGATAAAGTATGATTTCAGCTGTATTTTGTAATAAACTGATTTTGGTTGGTTTAGTGAACTTAAACAGATCAAGTTTTTCCTCAACAGAAAGGGATTGGTGTTGGTACGCTAGGTTTAGATAATCAGGAGAAAAGCTTTTTTTTATCAAGCAAAAAATAACAAAAATTAAAAACACCATTGCTGGATTCTGGGTTTACTAGTTTTATGATCATTTTAGTGGTTTATATGAACATAAATAAGTAGGCGGGTTCTCCCCACATCCTTAACCAGAATGTTGAAGCAATGCCAGACCTCTTTCCCAGCATCGTTACACAGTTGAAGTTGTTATTACTCAATCTCACAGAAAGCATCTCTGTGGTGATACTGAAATGTCAATTCTGCATATTCTGAATAACAAGTAGCTCACAAAGATTTTGTATAGTAAATAAAAAACATCATTAATTGGTAGATTGATGTCTCTGTTGGGCTGATTATCTGTCTCCGCCGCAGCAGTTCAGACAATTAAACCACCAGAAAAACAACGAGTCACTGAAAGCTCTCGTTGTATTTGCTTAGGAGCCACACTGGAACATGTGGACACAATCTCGTCTCAAACATCCCATCCTACTGGGGACCTACACTCCCAGTGGTTGACTTTTATGGCCTCTACAATCTTTCTACTCCACCCTTTTCCCCTCTGTCTCCGGCTCACTGGGTCACTCTTTTTTCCTCCTCGTCCCACAGGAACGTATCTGACCCATGAGGCCAAGGGTTCCGACGACGCCCCTGACGCCGACACGGCCATCATCAACGCTGAGGGAGGTCACTCCGGAGCCGAAGAGAAGAAGGAGTACTTCATCTAGACGGGCGGGGGGACAGAGTGGTGGTGGGGGGGAGAAAGCGAGGAGGAGGAGGAAAATTTGGAGGATCCAGCTGAAGGAGAGAGGAAAGGAAAAACCTCCATTTGTTTTCACAACAGCTTCAGTTCTTTACTCTGTTGAAGGGATGTTGGCAAGAGAAGGGAGGTAAAGAACTTTGGGCGGCACTTCAATTACCCTCTTTGCATTGATATAGGGAAGTGAGATCTTTTGCACTGACATTCGGATGAACTGAAGTTACACACATGCGCACACACACACACACGCGCCCATACATGATTCAGTTGTTGTTTTTCCGCACAGACGTGAACGCTCGTAGATGCTCAGATTAACAAAGGCGAGCTTCCTACTAACACATCCTGATCCGTTATCACATCCTCACACAAGCATCCCTTTTTTTCAACTGTCAGCGCAGTGAAAAAGCTAAATTGTAAACCACATTCTGACATCGTCACGAACCTCTTTCCTCCTCCACAGTGCAGCCCACAGCGGGTCTGCCCCCGTCACGTTCCAGTCCTCATTCTCTCTATCAGAACAATGCAGAATCCCTCCTTAAACTTGCTTAGGGTAGACAAAATTATTGATTGGAAAATTTAATCTCCTTCCATCTTTTTTTAATCTTTCTATGCCATCCAACCGCTTCCTGCGGACGATAAGATTTTTCCACAACGCACCACCACAAAACTTGCAAAAACAGCATTCCCACCTTGCGCTGCCAAGCCCAGGGCCTCCAGTATACATATATAAATATATATAAATATATAAATATAGAGTTATATAGCATTCTTTTTACTTGACAGAAAACATTTGGTGTGTTGTAAATGCACTTTCTGTTCTGTTATTTTTCAGCATTCTGTCACTCTTCGGCGCCCTCTATCCTCTCATGCAGCCCGTTACTGCATCACAGCAACTTATATACTCAAAAATAAAATAGAAAAAAAAAGCCTGCCTGTTTTTATTACATGCGTGAAAATTCAGAGTCAAAGCGATCATTATCTTTGGGTTAAAAAAAAAAAGAAAAAAAAAACATGTAACAACCATGATGTTGCAATGAAAACTAACCTTAACTGCAAATATTTGTACAAAGAATGTTTTTCCTATTGGTTTGTTTGTGTTTTCTAAATTTTTCTTTTGGATTTTTAGGGAGATTTTGTGTTTCCTGTCACATCTTGTTGTGTTACTGTCAGTGTTAAGAGTTTACAGTGTCTGCTGGTTTGTCAGTTCAAAAGTCTTCTTATTTGGGCATTTCTTTGCTTCTTCTGTTGTGCCGTGCTCCGTGGCGACAGCTCCTCCCTGCATAGTCAAACCTTGAACTCTAATCGGCAGCCACGTCTGAGTGAAACGTTCAAAATGAGTTTAATAGAGTTTCTTTCTTGTCTTTCATGTAGTTTCCCTTCAAACTCAGCCTGCTGAACCTAACAGTCACCTTCAGATCGCCTTTCTTGGCAAGGCCATCTGGCTCCAAATCCACTGAGTAGGGGCTTCACTGGCTTTCTCTAAGAACCTGCCATGTTTGCTGCTCCGGGGTTGAGAAAATGCTCACAGGACCTAACAGGGCTGTCTACATGCATTATAACCAAGTTCCTGGACAAAAAAAGGGGGGGGTTGCGGGGAATCTCTTCCCTCGATGGCTTTCTTGTATGAGCAGGACTCATTCGCCAGCTAAGCGAAAGCTTCCCATAAACCAACGCTGCTTTATTAAGGTTGAGACTTGGCTTTGGCAGCAGCGAGTCCCACTTGGCCCAGGCATGGAAATTGATTGCAATCTAACTAAGAGGCTCTGGCTGCAGGTTGTACACATGCCAAGGCTCTGTTTGGCCGGACAAGGATTTCAGGCTACTCTAACACTCAAGAAAGTCATTTAGGGAACCTAATGTCCTCTTCTACTTTTCTCCTTCCCCCTCCACTCGTCTACTTCTTTTCATACTTTAATCAATCAAGCTGTCTGTGTCCTGATCCACCTTCACCCTGTCTCCCTCCTCTCATTGCTCCTTCCTTCCCCTCCCCTCCGTCTCCGATACATGTCCAGAATCTCCTGGCTTGTCTCTCGCTCATGGAGAAGCCTGTGTAGACGGAGCTGTGTGGGCTGAAAGCTTTCTGCAGTAGTGGCATGTAGGAGATGAATCACTGGTCAGTTTTACAACCTTCACTACAAAAAAAAAAAAACACAAAAATATTACCAATTATTTTTGTCTGCTTTCTAAGTGCAAATATTTTAGAACACTTGAAATATGACAAGTAATATACGAATAACTTTTTAGCATAGAAGATTGTTTTAAGTAAATAATTCCTTAATATTGATTTAGAAAAATACTTTTTACACTGACAGATTTTTTGACATGTAACAAGACATTTCCATAATATTAGTAATCTGCCAGTGGAACTATTTTTCTATCTTTATTAAGGAATTATTGACTTATAATAAAACAAGCTCCTACATTTTGCTGTTTGTTGTTTGTAAGTTAGTTTTGTCTTATTTCCAGTGTTCTAAGATATTTAAAATTACGTGGTAAGATTTTTTGTTTTTGCAGTATTCCTGTATTAAGTGTTTCTGCTACCTAAGAGGGTTTTGTGAGTTTTACTGAAAGGATTATTGGCTTGGATATGTTTCTATAATAGTGTGTTTGGTATTTGGTGATTCAGCCATACTGTCGCCTCAACAGTACAGCATCATAGGTTCATATCTCCTGCTGCTTGAAGTTTGCATTTTGTCCCTACACCTGCCTGAGTTTCCTCCAGGTTCTCCTTCTGCAAGTCCAAAGACAGGGTGAAGTTAGTCTGCGAGTGTGCCTGAGCAAATCATCATCAAATTGTTCGTCTCTTTGTGTCGGCACCGTGACGGACCAGTGGCCTCTCCAGGGTGTGCTCTGCCTTTGCTCTGCCCTGTGGCAGCTGGGATAGGCTGCATCCCGGGCGTACAGTCCCTGCAGCAGTGGTACCCCAGCCCTGGTTCCCAGAGTCCACCATCCTGTGTGTTCTGGATCAGCGGTTTTCAAACACCTTCTAATAAGCACCATCTCTGTGAATACAAATATTGCCAAGCACCACCATGATTTTGTCAGAACTGCATCCGGATTTGGATTGGGGCTGAATGCTTGGATCAAGGATTTAATTATGCATTCCATTATTCGTTCGTATTCATCTTTCCAATTTGAAAATGTCAACTAAGGTCTTCTATAGTTTCCCAACAACCCATCCCTCAAAATCCAATATGGCTCCTGCCAGTTGAAAGCAGAATGATAAACAGTTAATTGCACATTTGTAAATGCACATCTTAGTAAGTTTAGTATCAGATTGTGCTCTGCAACCTTTGGTAATGAACAAAATCTTTTAGTGTTCAAATGAACACTAAACAATAAATAATAATAATTATCCATTTACTGGCTGCATTATGTTTTGCATAAAAATGCCTTTTTCTGTTAAACAGATTCTAAAACAGGTTATAAATTTAAAAATATACACATCTCACAAAACATGTTTAGATGTCTGGTATGAAAATCAGCTAAGTTAGGCATTATTTCAAAGGACTTTGGCTAAGAGATGTCAGCAAGATGCTCCCAGTTTAATCTATGGTATGTCTTAAAAATGTGTGAACAAATTCATGATTGAAATCTTAAATTTCTTGAAATACTGACAAATACTCTTTTCTTTTGAGCAGTTTCTGTTTGAAGCTAAGATTATTTTCTATTCAGTTCAACTAAAAATACCTTTTTCGATCCCAAATAAAAATTAAATCTGGTTTAAATCACAGATATTATCCAAGCATTTTCAAAGAGTCGTTTTGGATGTTGATGCTGTGAGCAGAAAAAAAATCTGAAGGATCCTGTGACTGAAGACTGTTACTGTTTGACAGTCACAACATGAAAACAGCTCAATATTCGGGTAACAGATGATATTTTACAGCAACATGTCTTGGATAACATGTTGCTAATCCACCTCAGTTGCTTTTGCCGCTCCTTTCGAAATCTCTGTCTGGCCGCATTTTTAAAAAATGATCCTCGTCACCTCCTTTTCAACTCCTCTGGGATTTTCAGTGGGGTATTATTTCAGCTTTTGAGACCCTAATCATCTGCGTCTGGTCACAAAAAGTAGCTCTTGCTTCCACAGTTACGCATCATAAGTTTCTGAAAGTGAAAAAAGAGCAATGTTTTTTTCTGCTACACAATATCATCCAAGTCTTGAGGTATTAATTGTCCGAACATGTAATGCCTCATCCATCAACACAAAACTCTACAAAATTATTTATGCAAAAGCAATTTAAAAGGATAATAATTATTTTTTTCTTAAGAAAAATCTGAATCTGCATAATCTGTATTTTTTGACCATGAAGAAATTCAGAAAAAATAGCAATTAGCACTTTGCTAAAAATTCCTCCAAAGAGGAATCTTAAGTTTTAGGTTAAGGTTTCATTGACGATTCTCCTCTCAGTAATTAATATCTCCGGCTTACATTTAAATTTGAATGGAAACAGAACTACGAAGAAATGAGAGAAATGTTACATTACCCATAAAAAATACTTCAGAACAATATTTGGAGTGATAGTAACAACATAATTGTTGTGGAACTATCTAATGATCACAAATATATTCACTCTGTAAAAAGACGCTACATGTCTTCAGTTACCAAAATCTTTGTTTCCAATGTGGTCAAGGTGAACAAACAGGGAAAATCTTTGTGAATATTCCAGTTAACACACACCAGGGTTATAAAGCAGGTTATGAGTTATAAAAAGGGCTTCTGAGGAACTTGGTGGCACGCTAAGGATGCGGTCTTTGAAAGTCTATGTGCTGGAGCAATACCACTTCAAAAAGTGCAGGATATGAGGATCAGGGTCTGGGGACCACTACTCTATGGGATGAACCAGGCATAGCTGATATATTTTTTTATTTTGACTCAGCTTTTCATCTGTGTTATGGTTGAGGAGCAGAGAATCAGCTCTGTCTCAGAGAGCTTGTTGCACACTTCAAAGACGATAGCATTGAACTGTATTTAGCCTCAGTCCACTGTAACTCTGCTCATGCTGGAGAGAGGAAATACTTGCCTCCTACTTAAAGTATAATGTCTTTTTTCAAAAACTAATGGACCTGTATTTGCCTGTAATTTATCGTCCTGTTCTTTGTCTTAGTTAATGTGCTAGCATGTAGCTTGCATGAGGAATGATTGGAAAGTGTAGATACTGCTGGAGACGAGAAGTGCCGACAAGCCCCTCTCCTGAGACTTCGCTGCTGCCCTCTGTTCTGCAGACATACGCTGTGACCCGGATAAATCTGCCTGTAACCTCCTCATCTCTGCCGCCCAACCAAGTACAACTCTTTCTGCTTTTTCTTCCAACACCCCAACATGAAATCTGCATTTGTTGTTGAACTGGGATGCGCAGTCAGTGAAACTGTATTTTCTGGCTTGGGTGTGATAGTGACTAACTGTCCCCAGGTGCCAGCAAAGCATCACTTCTCTTCTCCGTCTTCAGTCAGTTTTAGCCGGACTGTCCTTCACTCAGAGTCATCATCTCCTCTTTAGGCAGTTCCAAACAAGCTGCCTGTCATTTTCCCCCTTTTTGTAGAGGAAACTATTTACTTTTTAAGTCATGTTTTTTAAAAGCTGTGCATAATCATCAGTGTTTGAGTTTCAATTTAGTTGATTATCTTTTTTTTTTTTCATTTAGATTTCCCAAAACTTGAATGTTAGAATTGTAGTATTTGCATTTATTTTCTTGTTCAACAACCATTTTTATATATTTTCCTGTACATAGTGTTGCCTTTCTGGAAACTCTTACATGCAGACCCATACAAACACCTTACACACACACTATGGATGCATTAACACACACATACATGAATATGCACAGCAGGTATGTCTGCTCCTGTGGTGTGTGTGTGTACTTTAGTGTGTGTGTGTCTGTGTTCGTGGAGGAGTGTGTATCAAATGACCCAAACAGACACTCTTTATGTGTTGCGTTCACAAAAATAGTTTTATTTCCATGAATAAAAAAATAAAAAAATCAATTTTTTTTTTCTTATTTGGATTATAAGTCTTCCTTTTGAGTAAATATTCATATCACATGAAAGTAGTGTTGTTGTGTGTGTTAATTTGTATAAAAAAGGCAGATGATGTCATCAGTGCGCAACCCTGACAGATGCTGTGTTGGGGTCAGAAACTGTTGGCTGAAATGTTCCAAAAATATGAGGTTTTGTTTTGTTTTGTTCTCCTTCTCTTTTTGTTAGAATATGAGTTGAGTTGTTGACTTCAATAAACATAAATTTGGGTTAATTTCACCTGCTTGCTGCTGGTTCTTCCTGATTAGAAAGGATCTTATTTAAACTGCGTTGCTGGTTGTAAGTGAAGGATTTGCTGTGACTCAGTTCGTCTTTGGAGACGGACGGTTTTTCCGTTTACGCTGATGATACTGGAAACAGAAAAACAAACTGAAGTTTATCACTGTTGCTTTACAATGATAAATTCACTCAAATATTCACATTACTATTGTTATTACAGGGAAAATAAATGTATTACAATGATGATGGTAACAAAAATGCACTTCATAAATATACAGATTTTCATCAAAATATATTTTGATGAAAAAATCAACAGCACTCTCCTCTCACACAATTAGAAACAGAGGAGATTATTGGGGATGCAAACAATTTCACAAAACAATACCACCGAAGAAGAAAGAAAGAGGAGGGTCTACTGATCGTAAAGTTACACTCTGACAACAAACGCAGTGGTTTCCTTTGTGTTTAGGGCCCGGTATAAGAACTATCTTAGCAACAGAAGACATTTTGTATAATAATAAAAGTACAGACCCAACTGGGTTACATGTTAATTCAGAATGTCTATGTTGAGAGAAAAACATCACAATAGATGTGAAAAAAGATATAATATTAAACAACAAAACAGGAAACATATACTTTAAGTACTTCAGTCAATCAATCAATTGATCCATTTTATTTTTAAAGCACCTTAAATACTAAAAGCAGCACAAAGTGCTGAATAGATAAAATACAATAAGGAGAAATGTATTTGACAAGATCTTTGAGTTGACATTAATTATTATTATTATTATTATTATTATTATTATTATGTTTTACGATATTACTTTCAACTATCAATATTTGAAAACTAAAGTAAAATATTGTTTTGAAATAAAATGCTTTTCTTTGTGGAAAATATTTTTAATACTGATATTTAATACAAGTAACACGTAAATAATAAAAGTAAATAAGAAGTATAGTTTTGGACCTCCTGTTAGGCTATCTACACTGTCTACAGGTCGAACAATGCTTTTGATTCAGTAATCAATCCAATATATCATCGAAGAAGTTGATGGGACTTTTTCACATTTTTTGCGCCACGCAACTGCACAACATGACCACCAGAGGGCGGTGCAATACAGTGAGTCAAGTAATCTTGGTTTTAATCCTGCAAATTGAGTTGGCGAGTAAATTGGAAAGCCACTTTCCCATTTGTTCTTTCAATTTAATTTGTTAAAGGAGTATTTTATGTAGGGATATTAAAACTTCTCCTGCTAAACTTACTTGCATTACATATGTTTTATTTCTGTCTGACATGAGAAATCCATCATTTTTAATCATTTTCACCGTTTGCCTCCTGTTTGTTCTGATATATCAGTAAGCAATAACATAAAACTGCTGCAATTTTCTGTACTTTAGGATAAAACATAGCATTCATATGACAAGATGAAAAAATAATGTCGATATTCTTATTACCGGAATTCTGAAACGATACAATTACTGATAGCCCACGCATAGCCTACATCTCTGCTGCTGAAAATCATTTCTAAGCGAAAACTCTGCTCGTGCTCTCCAATTATCCTTATTATTCATCATTCATTTTCTTCAGGTTTTAAACTTAAATGATCTCATAGTTGAAGTTTTGAGGGCCAGACCGCTGTTCCTGGCACCGTCGCTGCAGCGCCCCCTTCCCCTCTGTGGAGCATTAACTGAGATTTGGAGAGGGGAGGCGTGGAGGTGCTGGTGGGGATGTGTGCTACTGATTGTCTGTGAGAGGGGAGGGGGGCAGAGACACGCCGAGAGACAGAGAGGGTTAGAAGAGGGAGAAAGGAATTCAGAACTGTTTAAATGGGAATCCAGAGCGCAGCGAGGACAGAGGCTGCGGACTGAGCCAGCAAAACAAAAACAACAACGGAAAAAGTGGAGACAGATTTATTTTACGCACGGGAAAAGTGGGAAGTAGTTAAAGGAAAGGAGAAAGAGGCATGGGATTTTTCTCCTCTAAATGTGTCCTGTTTGACTCTCATGACTCAGAGAGGATTACTGTTAAACTCAGCCGCTCTGCAGGAATTGATGGTGTCTTCTAAGAGAAACGGAGCCGAGGGGAGGAATCTGAATGCGCTCGGCTGAACCATGCCAGGCTTGTGGATCCTAACTTTGGCACTCGCTTTCAACCAAGGTGAGTAAAAGATGAAGACCCAGAGCTGAGAAAAAAAAAAGATGGACATCAGCGAAAAGTTTGCTGTTAATTGTTTTCTTTTGTTTTCCTTCTGCGGCTGTGCGCTCTGAGGGTCTCTTTATGTCTCATGGCACTACTTGCAATGCGCGTTTTTATGCCTGGCATTAAATCCACGCGCATGACTCCGTGCGTGGAAATAGTGCTACAGATTTGTACATCACTAATGCATCTCCGCAGACGGGAAGAAAAAAAAAATCATTCTGGGAGATGGGGGGGGTTGTTTCTGCTCGTATCCAGGCGCAAACGGCGCTTTCCTTTTCCGTCCGTTACGCGTTTTCTTGGGCAGAGATCTGGACCATCTGCACACGACATTGCCTGGACGTGACCTTTAAAACGCATGAATGGGTAGATTTGGATGGAACAAATTCGGTGCGGGTCAACGCAGCGCAAGCACACGCACGCGCGCACATTCACGCACAATTTGCGCATAAGCTGTCAGTGTGGGGATGATTGATGAGGCGAGGATCTAATGCACAGTCTGGTCGCTGGGCTTTAACATCGGGCTCATTGGATCATTTTTCAATGCGTGCGCGCACGAGCTAGACACGTGCCTTTAGTCACAATAGTGTATTGTGTGTGTGTGTGTGTGTGTGTGTGTGTGTGTGTGTGTGGGGGGGGGGGGGGGGTGTGTGTGTGTGTGTGTGTGTCTGGTGAGAGTAGAAAGAGCAACGCAAGTGTCCCTAGAGAGAGAAAGCTGTGTAAGTGTGTGTGCATGTTTTTTTCTTTGCATGCAGGTAGAGCCTGGCCCACATGAACGAGGCCTTCCCTTGCAGCTGCCAAGAAAAATTCATATTTTACCTGAAAGACTGAGACATATTCACTGGACTGGAGAAGAGTCATATTACTAATATTAATGCCCCTTTTTATCAATCACCTTGATAGATTACCCCCTCACTCGCTCTCTCCCTCTCTCCAGACACACACAGTCTGGCACACATCAACCGAGACAGGCTGAGTGTGTGTTAGAGCAGTCATGCCTCCAAAGACAGGAGTGATTTATTGAGGTGGTCTGATATGAACAGTTCCGCCTTATAGAGAGTCCTGTGTGTGTGTGTGTGCGTGGGTGGGTGTGTGTGCGTGTGTGCGTGTACCTGCATCACCTGGGTCCCTGCTGCTGCGGGCCGCCGGTGTGATGAACCACAGACGATGATCTGCCTGGACAGTCAGTCAGAGGAGCTCCCAGGCTGAAGCACACCTGACCACCTGAGTGGAACGTGATGGATGAGGCAGAGACCCAGCCTGGCTTCACTGTTTATTTTTGATATTCAGGTTGGGAACATTTACCAGAAATTAAATGTCAGAGTTTAAAATTTGATCACCGTCTGAAGAGCCCCGCAAAAGCATTCGCTGTGTCTATATTTTGTTAATTCACCTTTTTCTATAATTACAGCTGCTGTTTTTGCAGAATGCCTCTCCAGCTTCTCAGAGCTAGAGGCTAAACATTTTTGCACATTTTGCTTTGTGAAATATACAAACCTGAGGACATTTAAAGGTCCTCAAGTTTGTCAGTTTTGAAGGAGATCACTAATTAGATTACTGAACTTTTACTAGGCCATTCAAACACATGAATACATGTGTACATTATTCATCTACTCCATTCAATAGTAGTTCCAGCTGAGTGATCGTAGGGCTGGACAATAAATCAATCACAATATATATCGCAACAGACATGTGATCAATATCAATAGATAATACATCCGATAGAATATTCCAAATTCAATGTATGAACGCCAATCCAAAACTGCAAAGTATTCTAGGAAATGAAGGCAGAGGGATGTTAGTAAGTAACTAACACATAAATCCTTAAAAATACACAATGTGGAGTGGAAACTGTGGATATACAGGAAAGATCATGGCACTAGATTAGCAGCATTTCAGATATTTTAAATAATAAAAAAAAGAATTAATTATTGATAGACAATGATCGACATATACTAATACAAATTGTTTATATTGTGATTAGTCTTTCAGACTAATCACAATAAGAACCTGCATTTTCTTGCAGGTTTTTCTTCAGTTCTGTCTTTAGCTCCATCAAGTCTGTGGCCGTTTTGGTCTCCTCTGGTCAGAGCAACGTCTTCCACACTATATAAACTGTAATCACGATCTCTTTGTCTTCGTCAGTTGTGTCATTCAGTGGACAGACACCCAGCCAGTTCAGTTTCTTTGTGCAATGTAACTTCAAATTATTACTGGAACATTTGCCTACTTTATATGTTATTGGCTGCTCTTTACAAAGCAGCCAATCCAGGAGCGCCATTCATTTTCCTTGGCACTCATTGGCTGTTGCCTCCAAGAGCAGAAATAAGGAAGCACTGTGTTGTCCTCCGCAGTAGTGCCAAATGTCTTTCACTCCAGAAAAGAATGCATAATAAGGTATATTTGGTGTTTGAATTATTAAAGTAGTCAGTTATTAGTCAGCTTGAACAGAGCTCTGAGAAATGTTCAAAACAGAGAGTTTTGTTTTATTAAATAATCTGGATTTGAACTGATCCCTACAACTTCCTCCCTGGCTTATCTGCTGTTCTTTGGTCTTCATGATGCTGTTTGTTCTCTGATTTTCTCTAATAAACCTCTGAGACCTTCCACTTCAAAGTTTTGCACTACTTTGTGTTGCTTCATCTGATAAAATTTCAATTTAATACATCGAAGTTTGTGGTTATAGCATAACAGAGTAAGGATAATGTACAACACAGCTCTGTTGGTCAAAGCATCGGTGAAGTAACTCTGGGAAAAGCTAAGGGTTTTTGTATTCTGTTGTTGGATGGCTTAAAAAGAAAACACATGGATAAAGTAGCTCAGGGCGGTTTGAAGTAAGGCTGTACATAATGGAAAAAGAACAAGACACAAGAGAGATAAAGCATCAAAACAAAACAAGAGAGAGCAGAGGAAAATATGTTCACAGCAGAGCAATGTCAAACACAAAGAAAGCAGACAGAACAAAATTTGAAACTCCAAAGAGATAAAAAATGGGCAAGAAGAAGTGAGCAGCACAGGACAAAACCAAAGCAGCAGAACAAAGGAAGGAGAGAGCAGACAGAAAGAGAACGGAGTGGAGCATCGGTGTCTCCTGCTGAGCTGGTGTAAGCCTGTAAATGTGATCAGCGTGAATCCGTCCCCTACATCCAGCAGCTGCAGCCTAATGTGTGTTTAGCCTGTTTGGACTCTTCCAGGTGTCTGCTGCCTGCCTCTCCGCCGCTGACAGCTCAGACTGCCTCTCTGATTTACTGCTCAGTCTGGTGGCTTTCTCACACAAACCCACCGCTTCTCCGTGTGGTTGACCAGGCATAATCTGTGGGTCCCTGTAATTACCGCTCTGCCCTGTATGTTTGTCTGATATGTCGCCAGTTGACCGCTGTGCTGCCAGTGCCGGTCTGGCCACAGGCGAAGAAAGAGATTCATTTTTGATTCTCCAACAGCAGTTTTGCTTGAGCTGAACATTTCTGCCGCCTGATCATGCAAGCGAGGCAAGTAAAGCAATTCCTGCACTGCAAGCACCTGTCCCATCTCCTCCAACGACCCCCACACGCATCCACTTGTTTTTGCTCCTTTTTCCTCCTCTTTGCTTTCTTTTCTTCCATCACAAGAGCAGGGCCTAGGCTCAGACAGAAAGAGACAGGCCATAAGACAGGGAGATGGAGGCAGTGGGAGATGAAGAAAGAAAGAGACAGCGGGGCTCAGTCCTAATCTGTTGACAAGAGGGGATGTTTGAGGATAAACAGAGGAGAGCTCAGAAAGTAATGACAGAGGAGAGTTTTTGCCTCAGATAGCAACCCAGCTGGACCATTAATGTTTGATGGTTTAGATTAGCAAAAGATTTAGACCTAAACTGGGCTCCAGGGCCATCTAGAGATCCTCTTATGATATAAAAGTGTTATGCTAAAAGAAACCAGACTTCCTTCAGATTCCTGAAATGTTCCATCTCTCATCCAAACACTTGACTAATATCTCCTGGCACCCAAAATACAGCGATTCACCTTCAGCACTTGTAGACTAACAATCAGTCATGGTGATGGAGAAACTTCCCTGACCTACAATCTGTTGGCACCTCTTGATTTAACAAATCCCCCAGCAGTTGTGTGATTCCTCCCTGAGTCATCAAACAAACAGAAATACTCCCAGATAAAAAGTGGATAAATTCAAACTGTTTTCCCTCCATTTACAGCATGTAAAGATTAGAGGGCGTTGTCATATTAATGGATTGCAGTTTTGCAACAACGCAAACCCGATTTTATCAAATTTTATCTGAGCTGTCTCAGAAGAGAAGATTTACAGATAAGTAGTTATAGAAAGATTAAGCTTGGCTTTTTCTGGTTTGCTTCAAATGATACCGCCGACCCCGAGGTCAGACTTGAGGTCAAAACAAGATTTATTAGATAGATATATAAATAACTTTGTTAATCCTCTCAGGGAAACCAATCTCTCCCTGTGCTGCAACATCTTTTTCAGCTGTTTCTATGCAGCTCAGTCAGTCGATTTGAAAAACAATGTGTAGAGAAGCATCTCCACCATTTTCTGACATTTTTTCTGATGCAAAATGCAGCTCATTTTATACATTTACAGCAAAAATAATGAGACAATTTTAAGAAAAGTACCTTTTTTACATAATTTATGAGATGCAGACAGGTGGTTTTTATTTGTTACCCGTTGTGCAAAAAGCCAAGAGATTAGGATCTAATCCACTTGCTGGGTAAGACTTTTTTGTTTTGTTAATGAAATGAAAACTCACTACGTTGCTCAAAGTATTTGCTCATCTGCTGTTGCACACACATGCACTTGTTTCCCAACTCATTCTTTATCTGCAAGAACAAGCTGCTTTAACTTTCCTGAGAACATTTTGTGATGCAGAGGATATTTTGTGATTAAAAAAATTAAAAATAAAAATAATGTTTGCTCAAGTTTTTGAGCAAAATGAAGACCAAGTTAAGTTGCTGATCTTT